GGAATTATCTTGGAACAGTGGACTTAAACAAAAGTGAAACAAGGTTCAGTGTGGGCTCCGTTTTGGGGAGAGGGGAGGTAACAGCCCCCCACACCAATGACCTCTCACAAAGTTCAGTGAATTGCTGACGAGAATTGCCTTAAAATGAGCGGGTTATTGGGATGAAAAGAAAATCACTGTGACAGAAGACATTTTTTATTACAAGATAAAAAAGATATAGCCTGAATTTGAAGACTACGACATCAGCCAAAATATTTACCTTTTCACAGTGGAACAAAATATGCCTATTTACCCAACTGTAACCCTTCCTGGTCCCTAGATAAATCATACAGTTCCTGGATATAAATTCTGATGTAAGATTAATAAATGCATACACAAATCACTCTATAAATTAAAGCCTCACAACGTGCACAAAAATAGGCAAACAAATAACTAAAGTAAGAGCTAAAGATAAAAAAGAGCTAACCTTCTTGTCCACCAAAAGATATAAATTGTTCTTTTATTTTCATTATATAGATTTAGTTTATTTGTGTATAAATACAGCATATCTTAGTAGAATTTGACCATGTAAAAAAGACATTTCCAATTGAGTTGGCTAGATTATTAGATATTTATTCATAACAAACTATACTGCAATTGTACTTCTTTGCTTTTGCTTATGTCAACTTTATTTGTATCGCACATTTACAACAACACCAGCTGCCCTAAGTGCTTCACAGGCACGAGAGAGAAAAAATAAAAGCAAACAGCATAAATACACACAAATACGTGTAAAAAGTATAACTCAGTTGGTGTTAATCGCCAGCGTTTTGAAAATTTCCTCTTCTACTCTAGAATTGCACACCTCGAAAACACAAAAAAATCACATACATTTTAATTTCCAAAAGCTGCCCTCTTCTGTCCTATAGCATGCGGGAGCTCAGACAGACTGCGTGTGTGGAGTGGTGCAGACTTTGCGCGCACATCCCATAATACTCCTCTAACACTGCATTAGAGCCGAAACAGCAGCCTCCGGTCCTGTTCCGCACGCATTTACTCAGCTGTATCTCATAGGCCTGGATCAGCGCGCACATCTCCTCTGCGAGCGAGCCAAGCCGAGGCAGCACAACATGTCAGATAGCTTCATTACGCCGGCTGAATGTTTGTGTGTGTTTGGTAATGGTTTAGTGCCGGTTATCGGACGGAGATTAGACCGGCCTTTGGACAGTGGGATTCCTCAGACATCCCACCGGCAATGTTATATATTCACTAAGGCTGCGTGCTTCGTCCAATATATTAGAAAGAGAGGGAGGTTTTTGAGTGGTTTGCTTTGATAAGAGGTTGTGAAGTCTTCCCCGAGTAATATTGAGAGAGATGAAGAGATCCTTAATTCGTCCCACAGTGGGGAAATTTCATGGTTGCATCACAAGTTACAGAACGGTAGGAATGAGGAGCACACAGCACAAGATAAATAAATAAATAATAGTAAAATAATATAAAATTTTATAAAACGGAAACGGAAGCAGTATAAAATCTCTATCTTTAGCATAATAAGGAAAGAAGTCTTATAATCTTCATCTTTAGCATGATAAGTACAAAAACCCCTGACTTTAGCATAAGGAGCAAGTATAAAATTGACATATAATGCAACCGAGAACTTGGAGTGTAGAATAGTGGTTTTTTTACATTGTTGACTTAATGGGTCGATTCTAAACTCATTATATGTCTCCAATTTCCTTACTTTATTGTATTTGTTTGGGTTTTTTTTCACCTAATTTTAACCAGGCATTTTAGTTTGAGATTTTAAGATTTCTTTTTCAAGGGTGTCCTGGCCAAGATGCTTTTTATAATATGAAATGAAACACACATTTTCTAGTAAAAAACAATCAATAAAAGGTACAATATTGAAACAATGAGCGGTCAATTCACACTTAAATCTGAGTTTCTCCTCTTAAATCTTTCCATTCCATTTTTCAGATATAGGCACCCAGCTGTATTGACTGATATTATAGAACTTTTGTATTTAGTCTGGGTTTACAATATTATATACTCCTGTTTTCTTGTATCATTTCTTATAGTTTTTACTCTTAAAAAAGTGATTGTAATATGTCTTAAACTCCAGAGCCAGTCTTGTTGTGTCTGCCGTTTATGGTGCATGCACTCCCGGTGTAGTGCGGTCAGTGTGTGCCCACCTCACTGACACAGCAGAGGATCATGGGAAAACTTGCATGTCGATTAATCATGACAAATGACGTGGAACAGGGCGAGAGGACTGGCCCTGAGCAGCTCTGTGGCCTCTGCATGTGTTGGACTGAAGCACTAAGGAAACATAACATGAGCTTAAACAGTCGTATTAGTTCTAACAAACACACTTTAAATAGTGTTTCCCCAAAGTGGGACTAATAGAGGCTTCATTCATTCATTCATTTATCAATAAAAAAGTAGCATCACATTACAGATTTTTTGCTTGTTTTTACCTTCTTAGTTGTTGCTTTGTTGTCTTACCCACAAACCTGCATGTTAAAGTAATAATAATTGTTTTATTTTTTGAAAAACAGTATTGTATTTCATAAATAATCTATTTTGCTGTAAACTGCCAGGAGATTTCTATGTCAGCACATTTATGATTGTATAACATATTGTGTCTGTATTATTCGTAAATTCAAGTGTGAATTTAAGAGAGACTAGAACAGGTTTTGTGCCTGTTCTAGTCTCTTGAGTGCTTTTAGGACTGTTTTATAATGGAAAATCTTACTGTATCTAGCTCTGTATTAAGCAAAGTAGAATTGTCTATGAGAAGCAGCTCGTCATTTAATTTCAAAATATATATTTTTTAGATTGAAGTTTTTGCTTATATTTGAATTCTCGTGCTCTTCATATTTGTTTACTTGCTTCATGATATAAATCGCGAATGGAAACATATTTGCAATGGTTATAAGAAAAAAATTATAATAGTTACAGTGCCTTGCGAAAGTATTGAACCTTTCAACATTTTGCCACATTTCAGGCTTCAAACATAAAGATATAAAATTTTAATTTTTTGTCATGAATTAACAACAAGTGGGACACAATCCTGAAGTGGAACGAAATTTATTGGATAATTTAAACTTTTTTAACAAATAAAAAACTGAAAAGTGGGGCGTGCAATATTATTCGGCCCCTTTACTTTCAGTGCAGCAAACTCACTCCAGAAGTTCAGTGAGGATCTTTGAATGATCCAATGTTGTCCTGAATGACTGATGATGATAAATAGACACCTGTGTGTAATCAAGACTCCGTATAAATGCACCTGCTCTTTGATAGTCTCAGGGTTCTGTTTAAAGCGCAGAGAGAACCATGAAGACAGATAACTACACCTCAGCTGTAGTTATCTGCAGTTCATCCAGAGTGATCATGGGCCTCTTGGCTGCATCTCTGATCAGTCTTCTCCTTGTTTGAGATGAAAGTTCGGAGGGACGGCCGGGTCTTGGTAGATTTGCAGTGGTCTGATACTCCTTCCATTTCAATATAATTGCTTGCACTGTGCTCCTTGAGATGTTTAAAGCTTGGGAAATCTTTTTGTATCCAAATCCGGCTTTAAACCTCTCCACAACAGTATCTCGGACCTGCCTGGTGTGTTCCTTTGTCTTCATGGTTCTCTCTGTGCTTTAAACAGAACCCTGAGACTATCAAAGAGCAGGTGCATTTATACGGAGACTTGATTACACACAGGTGCATTCTTATTTATCATCATCAGTCATTTAGGACAACATTGGATTCAAAGATCCTCACTGAACTTCTGGAGTGAGTTTGCTGCACTGAAAGTAAAGGGGCCGAATAATATTGCACGCCCCACTTTTCAGTTTTTTATTTGTTAAAAAAGTTTAAATTATCCAATAAATTTCGTTCCAATTCACGATTGTGTCCCACTTGTTGTTGATTCATGACAAAAAATTAAATTTTTATATCTTTATGTTTGAAGCCTGAAATGTGGCCAAAGGTTCAAGGGGGCCGAATACTTTTGCAAGGCACTGTATACTAGCTTCATAGGATAAATTGAAAATGTAATCATTATTGCAATGGTGATATGAAAAATTGCAATATTTAGACTGAACTACAAAAAACAGCACTGAAAACCAAAATTGTAAAATGTCTTGCTTCAACAATCATAATAAAGTGACCAAAGTTCCAATTCCAAACTCTCCATAGTTGCCATCAAAGTGACCTTAGCAGTCAGCCGTGTGTAATGAGTTTAAACAAACAATAAAAGCAGCGCTGAAGGAGTGACGGAAGAAAACTGCAAAAAACGATGATGTCAACCAGGAAGTGACAAAAGACAAGGGCTGGGAGTATTACTACCTACACTACAATGAGAGGAAAAAACCTTACAATAAGCATTTAGAAAATCAACAATGTTCTACTCAATGAGCCACATACATTTTAAACTAATGTGTACTACTTCTTAAAGCTGATGTACCTGATATTTCAAAGGCAGTTTTTTTCATTATTCATTTATTAAACGGTATTAGGAGTTTCAAGATCTCAGTTTGTTATATTACGCAATTTTTGGCTTTGTCTGACAGAAAACTGAAATCGCGACCACTCTTCTCAATCAGCTTTGCAATAGTTACAATATTTTCTGTTTCGATTCAGTGGTCTTATTTTTTCCCACAAACTCCTACTTGCTACTAATACATGGCTGGGAGTAGGGGAGTGGTTTGGAATGGTTGTGAGAATTTTGGATTAGCCAATATATATTAATAATGAATCATAATAATCAGGTCAATCATCGGGAATAAAGGATTAGTACCCCAATATTATTTTTACTTGTTACTTTGATATTCTTTGATATTCCCAACCTTCTTGTTGGCTGCTTTCAGAAAGCTCCAGCTGCTGAGCCATTACTGTTACTCTAATCCCATTGGGGAAAATTATAGATGACTCCCACAGTCTATGTTACAGTTATCATTCCTGTTCAGACCGGGCAGCAGCTGATCAGCCGTGCGGAGCATAGTGGATATTGAAAACCTGGAGATTCCCTGATGTTTTCTGCTGATACTGCTGAATTCTGCGGAATAACGGCAAGTTTATTTGTATAGCACACTTCATAAAGGAAAGGAACATTTGAAATGTACATGATTGTTGTACATTTATCATGTGCATAGTTATAGTACATCTGTTTTTAACCTGGCCTTGAACATTTTTAGGGTAAAAGCTTTCCAGACTTAAGCTGCATGTGAATAGCAGGAGACTCCCAATGAAAATTACAACTATAAACCAAAGTAGCTATTAGGTTTCTTTGTTTGTTTATATATAAATCTCCCATCACGTTGCCCATACTTTATTCACATATTTTGCTATACTTTTTTGGGTAAAACAACATGTATTTTTTTACCTTAAAAAGTTACCAAATCCTGGTTTAATGAAGTTGAAAAGGTAAAAGCATGACTGTCAGTATAGCCTAATAAGCCAATGTAGAACACCTATAATGAGTTGATAGAGAACTGTGCCTTTGTTAGATAATTTGGATTATATGACTTCATTAAACCCTGCTCCTTCCATCAATTTAGTACATTGTAGAAACTATCAAATATAATTCCTGTCCCAATCCAGGTCAGTTATTTGCACAATTACACATAATGTTAAATGTGTACCTTTTGGACCTTTTGGGAACTGTATCAATGTTTTTCCTGGCCTGGACGCCGTGACCCACACCCTTTCCGAGCATTTTATGAGATATTACAACTCCAGCTATAACACTCCCACTGATACACCTGCCTTTACAACACAGCACGCTTCTCAACCTAAAAAAGCCTGACTGCCAAAAAGCCGTATATTTTTACATGTCATCAGTAGAAAGACATGGTCTACCCAAATCCACTGATCCCACATTGAGGCATTCAAACCACGGAAAACCATCCAGGATACACTGTTTTAGTTCATCATGTTATTCCGTCGCAGTAGCAGTGGTGTAATTCTCTAGAGGGAATTGCTTTTGCAGATACACGTACAACTCTTTAAGCACCAATTAGTCAAATCCTCTATTTCTGTGTACAGTAAGTATTTTTCAACAATATACAGTACATTTTTCAACAGTACGTCTTCTTGGCACAACTGCAACCAGTCAGATTTGTGTGTGGAGAACAGTTAAGGGATGACAGTGGCTCAGTTGGTAGAGCATTGGTCTGTGTACCTGAAGGTCGTGGGTTCGAGTCCACCGCCAGACCTTCTTCACCGAATCCCACTGATGTCTGCTGTTGTGTCCTTGGGCAAGACAGTCTACACTCTGCCATTAAGGAGCGCGGAATTAATGTATGCTGCATGCTTTGATGTGTGTATTCATCAAACTGAAAATCTTCGCACTGTGGGATGAATAAAGGACCTTCTTCTTAAACCAGTGATAAGGGGCCTCCAATATGAATACGAACCAACTTGGACTCTGAGGATCACAGGGACTGACCTCCTGCTGCTGCCCTGACTCAGAGCTAAACATGGGAATGCAGCATTTCAAACTTCTTCTCTGACAATGTTCAAATCCAGGGTAAAAACAGTTCTGTTTAGGTGTGCATACAAGTGAGGGATTATTTCTTTACTCTTTTTAATGTACGGTGATTATTTAATGCCTTGTGTGACTGTCTCTGTCTTGTTTCGTTCAGCACTTTGAGTTGCCTTGTGTATGAATCGTGCTATACAAATACACTTGCTTTGCCAAGTGACCAAGTTAACCTTGTAGTGACCCAGCAACTGTATGAGTGGTCAGCATGGCACCTTTACTCTGCATCACAGTGCTCTCAAGGAGGCTGTAAGGTCATTTGTTTGGAAGGTGATCTCTGATGACAGACCTAGCACCAGAAAATCTACAACACAATTATTCCTGGAGCACTGTCCTCTCACCAGAAAATGGTGAGAGGATTTATTGTGGAGTACTATAGACAACCATTATCAAAAGTAAAGGCATCATACTGTCCACTCATAGAGCTACTGGATACACAACATTTGTTTTTTTCACATATATAGTTCGACAATGCTTCTTTAAGATTCAAATGCCGTCTGTGTGTTGGAGTGTGTGGGAATGGGGCGGTAGTAGGTTGAACTTTCTTGCATGTTTCTAATATCTGCTCAGAATCCCAGTGGACTAGCTCCGTCTTGGGTGTTCCTTCGCCGACTCGACTCCGGTGTTGTTGTACCAAAAGCTTTCCCAGCAAAAAGAATAGAAGAATCAGGCGCAGTGACGAGGCCCTTCCCATCACGCTCTCTTCTTTCGCTCTCTCGGCGGGGAGGAGACACGGCGGTAATGAAGCTTAAGTGAGCCCGCTGTCTGGTAATGTAATATACACAAAAGCCCGCTCAGGTCTGGATCCAATAATGTGTCATTTAGCACGTCTGGAAGCGATTGGCCCGTTGATCGGAGTGAACCCCTGTCCTCCGGCCGGCCCTCACCTCACCTCCCCCTGACCACTGGTCGCTGCAGGCTTCAAAGGAGGTTACTGACCACAGGGGCGACATAATGCTTTTATTGATGCGTGCATATGAGCTGCTGTGTGAAAGGGCTCTGTTAAAGAACTCAGTCATCGCTGCAAGGTTGGAATTATCTGGCAATTTATCTCGTTTCTTGGATTGAGACGATCGATTCCTTGTTTGTTTGTTGTCAATAAGCATCATTTACGTTTCATCAGTCAGTTAAAGGGGGTATATGGTGACAAATCAACTTGAGAATGTATGCCCTCCTACTCTTTTACATACTTATTTAGACAGTTCTACAGTGACTCTTGAATGTAATATTCAATTTATTCTCCATCCAAGTCAACCCACAACCTTCTCACAGTGTTCTTCACTTACTATGTTGTTTTGCTTCCTTAATCTGTCAAACATGTATGATTAGCCTGCATTGCGTTTTGGCCCATAGGAACAGTTTAGGAACAGTTAATTTGGTTAGAGGTTTGGGAAAGTTTTGTTAATCAGGTTTTGGCAGAACTTAGCCTCTCATTTGGGTTGCCAGTTTTGGTCGGCCCGGGGTTACAAAACATTTGAGTCAGAGGCCACTTTAGTTTAGTTTATGTCCAAGAGCCGACAACCTGGGTAAGGAACTGTTTTGACTTGAGTCTGAAGCATGACATGTTCATATTTATTCACATTTGAGTAATCTAAAGTTGGCTACTTTTTTCACTTTCGCTCTAGCTACAATAGCACCCTATATGAAATGTTATGGCACGATCAAAAACAACAGTATAGTGGAATGCAGTCAATGACTAGAATAACAAAATGAAAACTCAATTATGTTCACTAATGTAGGGTTATACAATATTATAGTTCATTTTACATGTGTGTCCTCAATGATTTGGCAGTTTGTATACACTACTATTTTGTTACAACTGCTTAAAGAAGTAACTCTCTGCTATTTCTGAATGGCAAAAGTAGCTTTCCGATCAAAAAAGCTTGGCCACCCCTGCAGGGACTTACCCAACAGAAATCAAACATAAATAATGACCAGAACATGCCAGTACCACCGCTTATTATGCATGTGTACTTCTGACGTTCCCATATCCCAGTTTGTGTGTGACCACTCCAAAACGACTCCAGGCTCATTTAAACATTTGCTCAGTCATTGTTAAATTACATGCAGCAAACCCCAATGATAAGAACCCAGAAGAAAACAGTATCCCGTCGCTCCTTTGCCGCACACGGCCCTCCTCTTCCTGCCCACTGTTTGTACAGGCACCAGGCTGGGCACTCACTCAGATCATGTTCCTAATGACGGCTCACTGTTCTGTATTCAGGGAAAAGCGGCTTATCAGCAATTTGTAGCAGCACCCTGTCCACGTACTCCTGAGCAGGGCATTTGCATGTGGGCAGGAAGTCTGGAGGCTAGACTTACCCTATCCCAGGATGCGTGGTCCTGGAGGCTGCCCCCCCGGCCCACACAGGAGCAGTGGAAGGATGCAAAAAGATGGCAGACACTGAGATTTGATGTGCTGATATCTTAACCACTTGGCTAAGAAGTTAAATCATGTAGGAATGCGGGAAATGTATGGGCCATTATTCAGGCCGTTACTTGCATTAGTAAAACCTTTCTTTTAAATTTTGTTGTTTTAAAGTGTAAAAATAAACACATATAAAGCCCACTTTTCTACCTCCACATTTCAAGCTGATGAATTGTATATAAAGTTATGAATATAATCAAATTGTAAATATATTGACACATTGTTATATGCATGCTTATCCTTTGCATTGAATGTAACATTGCTTATGAATGTGTTGAACTCCTAGAGCTGACAATTTGACAGCCTTGACAATACAATCATTTAAGTTAGCGTTAGATTATTTTCTTTTTGCTGTAATTCTAGTAGTTTCAAAATTCTGGGAGTCCTAGTGTTACTTGACATAGCACATATGTATCAAAACCGTTACCAAAGCGCTGCATAAATGAGTGCTCATAAACAAAACAAAGCGAGTAATTAAACCATTGCGAGAAATCCATACTTTAGCATTTTATTCCAGCATGATGTGTCATTACTCATAAATCTTTTGTTCAATTCAAATAAAAATGCAAAAAAAAAGCACCGGTAACAGCCAAACTTGAGCGCCAGGACTGTGGTAGTGTATACTGTCGGTAATTTCGCCACCACAGACCACCACCAGTGTCCATGAACAATGAGTCTGTCAAAGTAATGAGAGGCAACCGAGATTACACCCATGGTCATGTTTACAGTTTTATATTATGTTTAACATGCACAGACTGTACCCTCCAAATGATGCAGTGATTACAATGATAATAACGCTGCAGATTACGGGTTTGGAAGGTGTTTGCAATGATTCAAAGCACTCGGATCCGAACAGAATTACAAAACATTTTGAGCTGCACTTGCACAGCTCCAGATTTAATGCTCTTCAGAGATCCTTTGTTTGTCCCACAGTGGGGAAATTTCAGTGTTGCATCACCGGTTACAGAACAGTAGGAATGAGGGACACACAAAGCAAGATACTGTAGATGAACAATAGCTCTTTAGTAAAATAGAATATAATCTCTAACTTTAGGATAATAAAGAAACAAGTATGAAATCTATAGCTTTACCATATTAAAGAAGCAAGTATAAAATCGCTAACTTTAGCATAATAAAGAAGCAAGTATAAACTCTCCAGCTTTAGCATACAGTAATAAGGAAGCAAGTCTATAGACATGTGGGGTTTACAACGATGGTTTCGACAAGAATATTTTGTTTCTCCTTCATCTTGCAGCACATCGTCGCATGTTGAGAAAGCTGCTACCACATGGAATACTTCAGACACTTGCTGCCGTGAGGAGACGACACGCACTAACCTTTGTGGGGGCAGCCTTATAAAATGTAACCCTAGATCCCACAATGATTATAGGGGCCTACACAGTATGTTCAAGCCATCAACTGAACGTATGTGTGCTTTTATGACCAAGGACAAATACAGCGTGTACTGGCTTACTGTTTTATTTTATGGTATACCAGTCAGATTTCAAAATAGTGACTTGGGACTTTGTAAAAAAAAAACGGAAAACAGGATTTCATGAGAGTATAAGGACTGGGGATTCTCTGAGGATTTGGCCATTTGCTAAAAGCAGAGTTTGCATTTCAAAGCATAGACAATTGAACGGTAAAATAAAATCAATGTTACTTGTTCCTGGCGGTATCACTAGTTTTCATATGTATGTATCTTTGGCCTCAGTTAACCCTTTAATCGTTTCCTCAACCATTTGGTGGATCACTTTTTGAGTCACTATATCTACTTGAAGCAAGCTTGGAACTGAAATACCTCATTGGGGCATCTCTATCACTAGATTTTAGGCACTTTTAGATCTTGGATCTCCTACATCTTTGAAAATCAAGAAAATAAAAAATGCTGCAAGGAGTGAACATTAAAGGGTTAAAAAGAGAGGACTCTCACTTAACCAGCCCAATGAATCAAATAGTGACTCAAGTAACCAAAATTAACATGTTTTGTTAATTTGTTCTGATTTGTTGGACAAACACACTAATACAGTATATTTGGTTTTCCTTATAGGTTCAGCAGCAAGTGATCAAGAGCTGGCGTCCCAGTTGCTGCTGCATCTCCTTTCAAGCAAAGTAGGATTTTATCTTGTATGTATATATTTCACCGTGGTCATTTCTAATACTGATTTTTTAATCTCTATTGTGCAGTTTGGATCAGCATCTCTGTAGCTACTGTACTTTCAAGCAGAAAAACAAGATGTCCCTCTCCTGTCAACACACCATGTCAAGTAGGTTTCCCATAACTTTTTCTAAAAAATGAGAAGTCTCTTGGGCCCCACATTTACAATTCGCATTTTATTTTGAAGAATATACAATGCTTTAATTGTTTAGCCTAAATATATATAAATTAGGATGAGGATTAGGAAAACTTAATAGTCTACTGATGTTTCTTTTGGTTTCACTAAAACTTTAAAAACACTTATACAAACAGGAGAACCATGCAATTAAAGTAAACAATAAGACGAAAATTACCTCACAAACATACATAATTTAAGTTGATATCAATATAGGTAGATAATATGTTATTCAAACCAATTATTTGTACATTTGATTGAAGAGGGTTAGGGTTGTTTGTTGATCAGACAAACTGTGGATCTTGGACTTAAGCCTGTTCCACTGGGTCCTGGACCCCATTTTGAGAAGCAGTGTTGTAAATTCTAAAATAAAATATTTTAATTTTAATAACCCCAACTGTAAAATAAAGGGTATCTTTATGAATCATTAACACTAGCATGTGTTTCTCTCACTTGGTTGGACTTAAGTAAACCCTGAGAAGGCATTCAATTTGAACAGTGCATCAGCAGACACTTCACATATCTGTTTACGCATGCATCAGCCTAAAGCTCTTTGCATCACTCTACGCTAATCGGCCGGCCCTCATCCCCACCACAGCACATCCATCCAACGAGCACGATTTATGGGGTGCCTGCCAGCGTCTCCTCAGCCCGGTGTAAATCTCAGCTCCACGCTCCCTCTGCTCTGGGACCACAGCACACTCACACATGGCTCCTATTACAGAGTCATACAGTAGCCATTCTTCTCCACGGACAGCCCCCTCCCTCCGCTCCGTGACGCTTATTAGAAATGTAACATACTTGTCTGGGAGTTTTTTACAGATTTATGCCGTACAGGTGCGCGGCTAAAAGAGCCAGTCAAGGTTAAAGCGAACAATCGGTACCAAGTGATGTGATTTCACGGGAGCACTTCAGGGATAAGCTTTGTCACATGTGTCAAGTAGAGATCTGATGTATTGAAATAATGTTTGTATAGGCACCGCAGAATAACCTACTGTTCCAAAGTAGGTCTCAATTTTAACAATGGAGTCCTCTAACAACTAAACTTGTCTGAAACTTTCTGGGCATAGTTAATTGAAAATGCACTATTATTTTGTTGCTATTTATGCCAGATGCTATTTCTTTGCATGAAATTTACCTCAGTATGGTAAAAAACTTGATATGCATGAAAATATGTCTTATATTTTAGGTTCTTCAAAGTTGCACCTTTTGCTCTGATTACTGCTTCGCACACTCTTAGCATTCTCTTGATGAGCTTCAAGAGGACTTCAAATGGTCTTCCAACAGTCTTGAAGGAGTTCCCAGAGATGCTCAGCACTTGTTGGCCCTTTCGCCTTCACTCTGTGGTCCAGCTCACCCCAAAACCATCTGGATTGGGGTCAGGTCCGGTGGCTATGTAGGCCAGGTCATCTGGCCCAGCACCCACCTCTCTCCTTATTGGTCAAACAGCCCTTACACAGCCTGGGTGTGAATCTACAGTCAATAGTCATGAAAAGAAAGGAAACTCATTGAATGAGAAAGTGTGTCCAAAATTTTTGTCTGTACTGTATATTTCAGTTCCATGCTTCAAGTAGACATAGTGACCGATTTGTGCTTCTATTGCATTCAAGATAGGAATTTTATTAACAATTACAATCCCCAAATTTGATTAATAAACCAAGGTTTGTAAACTCCTTCTGCTCAATTTGATAAAGCGACTGGGACAAGTGTAGTCTGACCAGTTAGGGGGAAAAGACGAATTGAGTCCAGGTTTTGTAGCATTGTCCATTTTTTCTTATACAAAAGCAGTCATTGTTAGCATCACAAATCTTAGTATGTCGTCATGACAGTTGTGTCTCTGTCAACATTCCACCACACAACACCTACATTATTATATCTGCTCTCAGTTTCTGCAATGGCCAAAACAGTCTGTAACCTAGAGCAGAGTAATAGGACAGGACTGGTACAATGTGAGCTCAGCGTACACATTACACTATAGTGTGTGAGTGAGTGTGCTGTTCCTGATGGACTCCTGACTGGTACCTGGTGGTCTGCTGTCCGTCTGTCAGCACCACATCCTCACAGCTCAGTTTGAGTTGACTGCCAGCACATACCACTACCCAAAACACTCATCATCATCACAAATTTCTTTAGTTTAGTATTCAAGGACACTCACAGGCAGCGGTGGGGTTGGAACCAACACCCCTTGAAAAATGACTTCTTGGACCACATAAGTCTTGGTGATTTTGAATGGAATCTACAAAACAATGCTGTATTGACCTCAGTGGGAAAGAAGGGTGGGTTGTATAAACCCGTGTCAGTATTTCATTATAGAGAAGACAATATAAATATGTTCAAACTTTTTACAAAAGTTCATAAGCCCAGACTTTTACGGTTTCATCCTTAATGCATGGGTTTAAGTTTAAGTTTATTGTCTATTTGGTTGGGACAGTGCATGTTAATACCACTGGTACAGAGGTAACATACCACTCGATCTCCAACGATCTTCGCAGCCTTGGGCAAATTTGCTTCCGTCGTCCCACAGTCGCACTCATTCACCCTGAACTTTTGTACATGTTCATAGTAGTAGGGGAAACCGAAGTACCCAGAGGAAACCTATGCAGACATGGGAGTAACATCAAAAAGGCTCAGGTCCAACCGGGATTTGAACCCAGGACCTTTATGCTGAGAAGTCCCTTTTGTGACTAGTTTTATTTGTCTATTTATTTATATATTTTTACTCTTGAATTACGTCACCTCAGGAAAAAGACTAGGTTGCAAGGCGGGTCAAAAGGCAAGTCTTTTCAACTCACCAGCCTGCGTCACTTTTGGTCGAAAAGCCAGTGTGTTTTCTCAGTGGGAATGAGACTCAAGTGTGAACCAAGAACTTGCTTTTATCTTGTAGTCACTGTCCCCTCCATTCACCCCCCTCTCCTTCCAAAGATATCTCATATTAAATAACTTCTCGGAGTTCATTGTCTGAGTTTATCCTCACCCCGCCTTCTTCACGTTAGGGGGACACTCTATGCCTTTAGCCTTGACCGGGCGTCCTCCTGATCCATGAGAGTGCCGGACTCCTGCCCCACCCTGAGTGATTGATGGCAGGGGTCCTCTCCGCACTCTCCCCCTTGCCTCGGCCCCGGCTCGGCGGACAGCATAGCGTTTCATGAGCTCATCTTTGTGGCGCCCAGTAGCTGCACCTCATGTGCGGACCCTGTCTCTCTCGTCTGGACGTGCACGGCTCCCTGGGGATTGTAACATGTGTGACCCCCTTCACACAGCCCGCGCGTGACCCCTGTACGGCCTCACTGTATCATCACTGTCTCCATGTCGTCAGGCTGGAGCTCGGGCTAAGTGCCAGACTATCCCTTTACTTTGCGTTTAATCCCAATCTAATCTAATTACCAGAGGGCAGCAGCGAAACTTTCATGTCTCAGCAATGGTGCTCTAGTTGATATGTGGTTATATTACTGCTTTATTTCTTTAATATTGGTTTGATATTGGTGCTAAATGCCTTTTCAGCCCCATTGTACCATTATGATTTGGTATGCTGGTATATAGTGTAATTCTAACCTCATAATGGGTCACAGTGAATCTAATTTGATTTTCATTCCAGCCGGTGACAAAAGTTTGAGCCACTCAACCCAAGTGCAGTTTCTTTATTATTTTACTAGAATGTCAAGGTGAAAAAAATTCAATATTTGTATTACATAGAATGCAAGTTGAACTCCTGCCTGCCAAGTGCAGGGCGTGAACATACATATCATCAGTACAAAGTGCTGACATTGGAGCGAGCAGCAGATTAAGTTATTTCATATGTGCCAAAACGTTGGTGTAACATCAGAATCCCTTTTTGAATAAGTCAAATACAATGGGCATATGTCACTGTCACTATCCATTGTGACAAATGGTTTCTTTTATTGTGCCACCTATTCATTTACAGGCAATAATCCATTAATATAGATTATTACTATAGTTGTTAGAACGTTTCATATAGGCAGTGGTCATGCGGACAAAGGCTAGAGTTGACGTTTAATACTAGAAATGTCACCCACTGAATAACTGTGCACTCGAGAAACAAGCATTCAGTGCTGTGACTATGTAAATAGAAGCACACTTTCTTCTTCTCATGTGGTTATTGTAGCTCGTCTAAACCCCTTGCCTTCACACTTCCAACTGCCCCATTTCAGAAGTGTCTTCATGGAAACTCTCCTTGCATGGCTTACACTCCAAGTCACGCTGCTCCTTTCATCATGTTGCCCACCTCACCTTAACCTCTTCCCAGGGAGCCAGCAGAGGACTGTCTTTCTCTGCATGTGCCACATTCCACAGGGGAAAGAATCCAAGGGCACTGATCACCTAATCTTCCCAGTCTGCATTAGCACCTGTCAGGGACGAGTCGCGAGGAGAACTTTTGTTTGGCAGGTCTTTGGGTCATGTGATGGCAAAGAGCTCCTATCTCTTCTTTGTGAATTGAAAAGCTGTATGTAGCTTATTGTGTAACAGAAACAAAATAATCAATACTTAAACTTCAATACTAATTAAAATATATATATGCAAGGCACGTTTGTTTGTATAGCACAGTTCATACACAAGGCAACTCAAAGTGCTAAACAAAACGTATGTATTTTGACTGAGAGTCTCGTCACTACTTGACAAAAATATGCGCAAGTCATATTTTGGGTTGACGAGCGCCTGGCTGTGTGGCACGTCAGCATGCTTGTGCATGCTCCAGGCGTTTGAGTGCCGGTCCGTGCAATTATTGTCTGACGTTAAACCGGTCCAGGGCCCCTAAAATGGTTGGAGATCGCTGATGTACACTATTAGAATAACATCTAACTGACTTCAACATTAATATTTTAACTAATGCACTATAATCATTGATCATGATCAGTGTAAAAATGCTTTTTCTTTGCTTACGGAGCCAAGAGTGCAGTTTTTCCCCTACTCTTAAACAATGCAAATGACAATAATTAGATAGGGATAAAATGAACTCACTAGCTTTCACAACATAATTCATGAGGCAAAACTAATTTTATTCATTTGATTCAATAATCAAAGCATAACCCAAAAACGTCATTATATTGGTGACGGAATTTGAATTCTCTATACTTACTTTCAGAACACATTTGGAAAATATATTACCTATTGCACGGTGGATCGTTCAAACTCATACGAAACCAGATCTATCACGTAAGAATAGAACTCCAATGAATGTCATCCTATAGCGAGAGTCTGTCCCGCGACCAATCAGATCTGTCGGCCAGCTGTTGTGAGGTGAGCCTTGCGGAGCGCAGAGAGGACCAGGCAGTCTGAGGTCCTTCACATAAATCATGCGTGCACGGAGCAGTTGCCGCTTCTGTCTGCTCAGGAGAAGAAGACATAGACATTTCTGCCATAGCTGCTTTTCAGAGCCCGGCCTGTGTTAGTGTTTACTGTCTAAATTGTGAAGACGTACAAGGAGCTGTCATCAGCGCATTTGTTTTTACTGCCGTTTAAAACCCACTGTCAGGGTTTTATGTTGTGCTATGTGCCATACCATGAGACATGGGGCACATGTGAGTGTGACTGATATCAGGTTGAGTTGTCATGGTTTTGTTCAGTTTGACATCTTTTTTAAAATAGTAATTGGCCAATACTTGTAAAAAAAATTCTATCTCAATCTCCAATTCTTTATCTTACCGCAGTATATAAAGATGCATTGATTGTTGGCCAAAATAAATGTCATGTCTTTATACTGTATAATTACCAATATTTGTTTCACTTCCGCTGACTGTCCTTGAAAGCAAAATTTCTTAAAAAACACCAGAATAGAGTAAGTTACAGCTTTGAGATTTTGTTTTTGATATATGCTCATGCCCAAAACTTAACCAGTTACCAGTGCAGGTACTGAAAAGATGATTTCAAGTTTTGTGTTATTAGTTATTAAAGTAAATGAGACGTCAGATTTGGATAAAAGTTCAAATACAGTGACAATGAACTGCATAGATCCAAACATCGGCTAATACCAAATCTTGCAAATATTCCTGGATTGGTTCTGTTTCCGAACGCCGTATCAGCACATCCCTGCATATGTTTATGGTGCTTGCATAGCATTATTGCTTATAAGAGAGTCAGATAGTCAGATATATTTCATTTGCCATTTGCAGTAAAACCACATTGGAATACATTTGCAAAAGTCCCCAGTGTGCACCACACAATCACATGAATACACAATGTTAAAACTACAAGAATGAAACAAACTAAAAAAAAAAGTGCAGGAAAAAGTGTTCTTAATAATAATGACAAATACATGTAAATGAACAGCTATAATTTTGCTCAACAGTTTGTGAAACATCTCGATAAGTTCAGATACAACATTGCTGAGTTTTCCCATGTTTGACTCAGCCTTAATCTTTCTAAGTGATCTCGACCCCTCTTGGACTTACACTGTAAATGCGTCCATGCAGAGAAGGTCTAGTTTTCCCTCTTGTCCAAGGTTATTTAAACCAAACCAACCATTCTATATAAAGTCTGAATCCCCTTAGTGCTCGGTCCGCAGCCTAATGCCTGACACAGGAACGCTGCTTTGCATGTAGCCTGATTATTATCTGCAGCACAAATTGCTAGCAGCTGCTTTTTCACTCACGGCCTATGCTCAAGAGTTTGTATATTGAAACTTGTTCACATTCCAGTGAACAATTACCACTTTTAACTTTCTCACAATAAGCTCAATGTAGTTTACATGAAGTACTTTGTTGAAAAATCTACTTTAAAGGGGTTTATAAGCCTCTGGGGCGAGTGCTGATCTAAAAGTGTGCTTTGTATGGTCTCTGGTAGCAAGGACAAACAAAGTGGAGAAGTCCATTCCATGCACAAAGATGATTACCGGACTCGCAGAAGTAAATGGTTTACATAATAGAGTTTGACTATAGCCCCATGCGAGAAAAAGGCTCAAAGGATTTAACCAGAGCCAACACTTGACTATGCAAACACTTTCTTCTCCGGCTGCTTTATAGAAAGTACTTCTGTACACTCTGAGAATTGTTGTTGTGATAAATTGGAGCCATTTTAACTGTCTCTTAGTTAGATTTTTTCTCAGGGCAACAGGCCGTTTATTATTGAACTGGTACCATTACAAGGGCATGTAACAAGCTGTTCCTGTTTCAAAGATAAGAGATCCTTTATTTGTCCCACAGTCGAATTCCAGTGTTACAACACACGGTATAAACAAATCTAAAACCTATAGCCAGTCACTTCATAACATGTATTTTCACGTGTGGAAATACATACCAGCTGCTGAGCCAAAATGAACACACATAGGATGAAAGAGGACACTAAGAAGTTATCGTATTCTTATTAAAGATTAGATTATGTAGTAGAATCATAAATTGTACCACTCATCCTTGATTGCTGCAATATAAACAGGACTCCTGAAGGCTAATATAAGATGTTTGGAGGGTTGCAATCATTAGAATTCTGATTCAGTTGGAGGGCAGCTACCAATACAACTCCATGCAAAATAAGCTGTTTAAAAATAAATATTGAAAAATGTAATGTCTAAATGTTTTCCCAAATCATGATTTGATAGTAAGGCTTAGAATGTTCTTTTAATAAGACAAAGATTCCAAAGACAATAGTACTGAATTAATTACCTGACACGTTTGGGCGATAGACCTACGGCTTCGTCAGTGGTGACACAGTGTGACGTGTCTCTTATCAGCTGTTGTTACTGGATGTGGTCTGACAGATCGGGGAAACCCGTTAGACTGACCCAGACTCACCTGCAGTGCTGTGGTCTCTGGAGAGGTGAGTCCCATATGTGGGCCGCACACATTATTAAAATAACCTATAAATAAGAAATCATGCTTTTTTACATTTAATAGTATTACGATTTTATAGTGATTACAGTCACAAACCTGCCATATCATTCTTATGCCCGAAAGTCCTTTATGCATATTGCCAATACTGAGAAAACAATTAGACCACAGTTGACACGTACCTCCAAAAACAATGTGGAACTTTGTGACAATGTTCGGTGCATGTGGATTGGCCCAGGAATTACAGAGAAAAAAGCTTTGCAGTCTGACTTTTCACAGTTGCCATAGAAACTGCCACCACATCACAATTTGAATATTGTGATATATAAATATCAATACAGTTTTGGCCTTGTGTGACAGACAGCAGTG